GACAGAAATAGCCCTTTAGTCAATGGATTATTGTAGAATCTCCGAGGGCTGGCTTTGCAAGACGAATCTCCTTCGGTAATCCACAAAGATGAAATGGTCTTTGTGGCACCACATAGACAAATCAGTGTGTCAAAGCCTTGCCGTAGAGCTGAGTTAAAGTAAGTGGCCGGATGGGGGAAAGCCACAAGCGTTGACTTTCCTTCCCTTTTAAGTTCTTGATTCCTCTCCCCTCCAGATTTTAGGGATAAGCTACACATGATCGATTGCATTCATGATGGGAATTTCCTTTTTTTCTCCATTACGAAAAACAGCTTTATGGACCAGCTACAGCTGGCACTGTAATAGAATCCAGGAAGTGGTAAATTACACTTTTGTCTACAATGACCAGTATCCCCTAGCTTCGTTACAACTGCTCATAGTTACTAGAGGATTCTGGTAATAGAAGTCAGTCAAGGTTTCATCATCAATGAACCTATTTCTTGGTAAAATATTTTAGAACATTGTGTTGTTGTTGTTGTTGTTCATTCGTTCAGTCGTCTCCGACTCTTCGTGACCTCATGGACCAGCCCACGCCAGAGCTCCCTGTCGGCCGTCACCCCCAGCTCCTTCAAGGTCAGTCCAGTCACTTCAAGGATGCCATCCATCCATCTTGCCCTTGGTTGGCCCCTCTTCCTTTTGCCTTCCACTTTCCCCAGCATAATTGTCTTCTCTAGGCTTTCCTGTCTCCTCATGATGTGGCCAAAGTACTTCAACTTTGTCTCTAGTATCCTTCCCTCCAGTGAGCTCATGACATCATTGAGGTGCTCAAGCTCCAGCGCCACAACAAGGCGTAATCCTTTGCTGGAGTTAGAACATTGTAGTTTCCAAATTTTAGCACTGATTTCGTCTATAGCAGTGGTTCTCAACCTGTGGGTCCCCAGATGGTTTGGCCTTCACCTCCCAGAAATCCCAAGAGCTGGTAAACTGGCTAGGATTTCTGGGAATTGTCGGCCAAAACACCTGGGGACCCACAGGTTGAGAACCACTGGTCTATAGAATACAGATGCTGTTGGCTTCAAAGAGGGACATTTATTGATACAAGGGTTAAAGCCTTGATATTTCATCCTCTGCAGCTATTAAAAGCTTATGAGATTTTTTGTTTTGTTTCAGGAAACCAAGGTTGGAGAAAGGCTAGATCCCTTCTTCCCTGCAATATAGTCTAGACATGGTTTTCTTCCTGCCCTTTTAAGTTATTGGTTTCTATTTTAAGGTTAAAAAATTGGGGTATTTTGTTCTGGCTTGGAGGAATGAATAGCTTCCAAACTTTTTCTTGACTGACTAAGATTTTGAAGGTTTATGTGTAGTTTTGATTTTTTTTCAGGACTCCCCTTCTCACCAGAACTTTTAAAAATATTGTACAAGATTTTCTCACAGAGAAAATGTGCAAAATTAATGGTTTTCACACACACACACTCTTTCTTTTTAGCATAAATGCTGCTTTGTGTTCTGACCAGCCATTTTGGGCCTGGAGCATGAGAAAAAAGCGGGATATAATTCAATTGTTGTAGTCTGGCAAGAGCCAGAAGATTCTGAGGATGAGGGTCTCAAAATGAATGTGTTCAGAGAGAATCTGAGAGCATTCAGGAAGATTTGCAGACAGGTCAACATGACCCAGCTGGTGCTTTGCATTCTTCAGATTGTTCCTTAGCAACTGGGGAAAGTGAAATTGAAGTTTCCCTGGAGAAAAGGCATTGGGAAGATAAGCAGGGCAGAGAGGTTACTAGGGAGTGTAGATTAGATCTCTGAAAACTGGGTGTGAAAAGGAGGCAGACTAGATCTTCCTAGCGCCTCCAAGATAATGCTTTGAAATCCAGGTGTCTTCGCCATGACTTCATGGGATCCTGGACAGGTTTAAATTGGTTGTTTTAGTTCCAAGCACTTCAGACAACATTGCTACAGGGCAAACAGTCTCCTGTTTATTTTACCAAGCTTCCAAGTCCATGGTTCTTGTAATGTAAAGACTCTTGTTTAATGTTCCTGCCTCTGCCTATGTACCTTCGAAGAGTTTTGCCTGGAAGAGGTTCCTGTGTTCATGTTCCTGGAATTACCTTAGATTATTTCTATGTTTTTGGATTTCTAGCTACTGTGATGTTTCCTTGGATTTCTTGAAAGACTTTGATTGAACTCTGGCTTTTTAAAATATATATTGCAGGTTATATCCTGATTGCTACTTTGGGATATAACTCTACCTCCCCCTTTTCTTCTTCTAATATTATTTATTGGTCTCTGGTGTGGTGCTGGGTGAGCAGGTGCCTCAGGGCTAAGGCGCAACATAAATATCAATATAATAAAAGAATTTGTCATTAAAAAGTCCATATTATGTGACAGCTGACCATTTCCTCTTGTCTTTAAACAATCTTTTTGTCAAGGATAAGAAAATGTATTTTTCCTCTATTCCTATTATGACCTTAATTCAATCCAATTGATTTTATTTACAAAGAAATCTCCAATTTTGGAAGATCAGTAGATTCCACAATTAGGTAATAGCTTCACCAGAGAAAAGCATGAAAGATTTCCAAAAATCTGGGAGTTATTTTATCTCTAGAATAATTTTGTACAATATAGTATGCGGGGGACACGCGTTCGGACTTCACATAGATGAGAGAAACTGTGGATGATAACAAGCCTATTGAAATGAAGGACTTCTGGAAAACCTAGAAAATGCCCAGAGAGGCCATATTTTGCTGGACATGGATAAAGGAATCTGCAGGTATCAGTCCCATGGATACAGGGACTATACTGTACATGCTAAGCAGACTTGGATAGCTGTTGTAATATTTCATAACTATTTTGATTATTCCTGTTGACTACACTAACATGCAATATTTTCTCCACTGAACTCAAGACAGTACACACAGTTCTCTTCCACCCAAGAGATTATCTCAATGGCCTCTTTCTTATGTACTTCTGGCTGTGAGGAGTAGCCAAGACCATCTTGTGAGTTTTATGGCTTAAGGAAAACTTGGTTCCTTGAGGTCTTGTGCCCTATGTACACTGTATTATATGAGTTTACACTGACCATACAATGCAGTAAATTATATGGCAGTCTAGAACCAACTTCATCCAGAACTCATTGGTCTCACAACGACATTGGTCTCACAACACACAATGGACTGGATCTTTTTGTTAGTCCCAATTAAGGTGACAGACCTATATATTGACTTGTCCTTCACAACTGATTCAGTGGATCTCCTCTACTCCCACATGCAGTAGGATTTAGGCCACTGTTGACCATACCAACATCATGTTAACAATAACAAAGTTGTATTAAAGAATTCAAATTGGTGTGCTAATTGGAAGGATTTAGAGTTTAACCGTGGAGCAATCCCAGTAATTGACACAGCTCCGAAGCAACACAATGAGGTGCACAAGGCACAATGCCCCGGACAGCCCAACAATTCCCTATTAATAGCAGTGGTAATACCTAACACTTTGAGAGCTCTCCTCCTCTTCAATAACACGTTGCAGACTTGGCTGAAGTATTTAATACTCTAAATGCTCATCTGGGGGATTTATGGTTGTCCTGTGCGGCAGGAGGTCACAAAATGCAACATGCTGGATAACATTGGTATAAAAACACAGACAAAGGGAGGACAAGGTAGGAAAAAAACTCTGAGATCTTGAAGCCGCTTTGAGTCTGATATTGTCAAGTGAGGTCGGTTGCTAGTGCATCTCTACCCAGGTCATATTAAGCAGCTATTCCCATTTAGCATTGCATCTGAAGAATCCTCAAGAATCCCTTCTTTCATCTTTCTGAAAAAAGAAAGTGTAATTCTCCTCCCCACTTCAATGCAGGTTCATTCAACTTTTGTCCATATCAGTGAGCCTCATGACCCAGATCTTTCCTGCTGAGGCAATGCCCTTAAATGATGTTCCACTAAAGCATCGTGGTTAGGATTGGAGCATTTCTTAATAGGCAATCTAACTTTATATCCCCAAATTTGAATTGTTTTTCTGTCCATAGCACTAGTACGTCATTGCTTGCACTGAGAAGTTCTCAGAGCTTCGTGGGCATCTACACTATAGAATTAATGTAGTTTGACATTATTTCAATTCTCATGTCTTTGTACTATGACATCCTGGGATTTGTAGTTTGTCTTGAAGCAGCACCCTTTGCCAGAGAAGGCTTGTAAAACAACAACTCCCATAATTCCATAGCACTGAGCTATGGCTATTGAAGTAGTGTCAAACTACATTAATTCTGGGTTGATGTGAGTTTTCTGGGCTATATTGCCATGTTCCAGAAGCATTCTCTCCTGACATTTTGCCTGCATCTATGGAAGCATCCTCAGGGGTTGTTGCAGTTGGCCACCTTTATTAGCATTGAATGGCCTTGAATCAATCAAGGCCAGCTAACAACTCCCAACAAAGGATTCCCCCGGGAAGGAAATAGCCAGGCTTTGAAGCTGCAAAGCCATTCAATGCTAATCAAGATGGCCAATTGCAGCATTCACACTTGCCTCAAACAGACAATAGTTCTTTCTCCCACCCTGGACATTATTCCACAGATATATAAACCCCACTTTCCTAGTTTCCAACAGACCTCACAACCTCTGGGGGTGCTTGCATAGATGTGGGCAAAATGTCAGAAGAGAATGCTTCTAGAACTTGGCCATACAGCATGAAAAACTCACAGTAACTCAGTGATTCTGGCCATGAAAGCTTTCAACAACACATTGCATTAATTCTATAGTGTAGATGCATCCTGGGTCATGAACATTTTAAAAAGAATACAGATTCATAAGCCTGGTGGTTTGAATTTGCCAGATATTTCCATGTAAAGGGTCAAAATAGAAAACTTCACAAATTGCAAATGCCTTGAGAACACTTGACGTGGCCTCAACCGTGAACCACATATCATTTAATCCACATTCAAAATATGAAAAGCATCCACATAGTTCAAAACTGAGCTGAATTCAAATTGCTGGATATTGCAATCTGAAGCAAAGAACGATACTTACATCAACAATGAGGAAATCAAGCCAGCACCATGCATTGGTGAAGTACTTCTTAAAGCCATAAGCCACCCATTTCAGAAGCATCTCCAGGACAAAGATGTAAGTGAAGATCTTGTCAGCATATTCCAACATGGTTTTAATGTTCCTTCTCTCTTCGAGGTAGATGTCTTCAAATGCCTGAAAAGGCAAAGCATCACACTAAGACATTCAAGACAATTTGCTCTTTGGCAGTAAAAAATTAAATGGTTTCGCATTTTAGTCTTTTTAAATCCACTTAAAATGTACATGAACAATGATGTTTCACAGTTGAGGCCTGAAGACAATAGTCAAGAAGTCACTATTCTACTGTTGCCATAAAATAAGAATTAAAGACTAAGCTGTATGTGGATCTGTTTTGTCAATCTGAATAGACTCTATTTTGACAATACCTGACATCTATCCACAACCTATATTGTTTTTTGAGTGTTGACATGTATGTTATGCTGGAAAGGCCATAACTGCAATATTGTGTATCCAACAACAAGACATTGCAGCTAGATACAGTGCCAGACCCTGTGGACATCCCAATAAACAGCAAACAAACCCAGACTACATTATATGCTGGTCTCATAGACCTTAGATGAAGATGACCAGGTATGTATTACATGTTGCTCATTGTTGGGCTCAACAGCAAGATGCTATGGATTTCTCAGAGGACGAGGGGTCTGTGTGTAATCAGGGTGATTTGCAGGTTTTAAATCAAACAGATGTGCCAGTAGTTACAGATGAGACAGAGGATGTTTGGGATTCCAATGTTTGTTCCTTAGCAATAAGGGAAAAAATCTCTTGGGAATTGTCCTTCAGCAGATAGGGAGTTTTCCTGTGATGTAAGATTAGGCCTCTGCACAGAGGGAGTGAAAGACAGATTAATTGGGCATTCAGAAAGACTCTGTGAGAAGTCCTTGAAACTCAGGTGTCAAAGATATGCCCTCATGGCTTGTTGGTTGTGCGTGAGCTTAAATTAAGTGATGTTTTCTTGGTGTCTCCAGAACAGACAACATTGCCATAGATTCAAGTTCCTGTTTCAGTTCTCAAGTTCATGATTTGAATCTCCTGTGTTTGCTTATGTTCCTGTAAGAGTTTTGCTCATAAACTGTTTTCATGTTTATGGATTTATGCCTATGATCTTGACTTCCTAGATTCCATGTACTTCCTGGATTCTATTTTGGACTACTGATCTTTGTATATATAGACTACTGCTATTTTATAGCACATGTTCTACTGCTTTTTAGGAAATGCTCTTACCCCCCTTTTGTACATGCTTTTCTTAGTAAGTTACTACTGGACTCTGGTGTGGTGCTGGGTGAAAAGGCGTCCCAAGGCTAAAGTGCAACACTCATGTACAGTACTGAATGCATACACGCAGGCATGTAGCCAGGAAAGGGGGGGGGGCTTGAGGGGCTTCAGCCCCCCCCCGAAATTCTCATGGTGGTTCGTGAAAAGGCCTTACTGGTACATTATTTAAACTGTTATGTTTATTCATATCATGATCTGATCACCATACTCAATATATCCCATATGCATGGGGGTATTGGGGTAATGATACAAAAGGTTTGCTAGGCTAGACCCTCTTTCACTCAGACTCAGCCCCCGCTCAGCCCCCCCCCGAAAAAATTCAGCCCCCCCCCAAACGAAATCCTGGCTACGGGTCTGCATACACGGTAAACCTTACCTGAGGTCTATGAAACCAACACAGAATGTATCAATTTGTTGATTAAGACAAATGGTCTGCATAACGCTGTATAACTCTGATATTGTATACAATACTGATACTTTGAATAAACTATTATCTATCCTGGCTAGATCTGTGAATAAACTGGACTGAAAGCAGTGCTGGGGCTTGGTAGGTCCTTTGGCCAAAGTTATTGTTTTTTGTCTATTTGCTTTCTTGTTCAGTTTCAGGAGTCATCCTACCATTGTGTCCCGCCTGGAAGGCTACAGTAGAGCTAGTATTTCAGTCCTACTCAACATTATGTAATTATATCAGCAAAGGAGATAAAGGAATGGAAAAGGTGAGCGAAATGAGAAGTGGTAGAGAAAGCCATCTTTGAAAGGAGAAAAAGCAATTCTCCCAGCTCTCAAGCATCATAGCACTTCACAGCTTTCTCTCCGAACTGAGATAGGTTTTTGTTGCCATCCCCTGCCATTGCTATGCACTGCTTGAAAAAGTGCCATATGTCAGCATAATGGCCTCTTATACCAATATAATTGGCCACAATCACACACACATTCTCAAAGCTGGAAGAATGTGTAGTTTGGTCTGTGGTTCACCTAACCTCCTACTAGTATATGACAACTGTCCTTGATGAATCAGAGTAAAGTTTACCTAACTGTTTGCTTCGAGTAGCAGCTATTCAGCTTTTTAGGCAGGGAAAGAATGGAATTGAAGGTTTCTTTTAGTTTCCTGCCTAGCATCTGGTATTCAGAAGTATTCAGAGCCATCAAACTTCAAGGTTTCATTTTTTTTCTATTATGGCTAATAATGCTGAATAAATTCACATAATCCTTCCTATGAACCATTATCTAAAGTAGCAGCTGATACTGCTGTAAGTTAGTCACGGGTTATGTGAAAAAGCATATAGGGCCTATTACTAATTTATAGATTGACTGCATTCTGTACCTCCTCCCTATTTTTCCAAGGTCTGAAGGTCATGCCCAATGGATTACTCCATATTGTCCTCTTCAAAGTAGGCTAAGCTGAGAGAACATGACTCAGTTGTGTCTAAGGATGTAATGCATCACTTCTTAAAAGATGTCATGCATCACTTTTTCTCTTACAGGAACCAATGAGTATAGTTTTTGAAAACTATGCAGAGTTTGAAGCCTATTTTGGACTTATTCAATGCAAATTTTGTCCATAACATTTTTGGAACAGGAAATAGCATTTTTTTTCCAACCGAGATAGAATTTTCTGCGCACAAAAGAAGTTGTTTCCTGCATGGGAAACCATTTATTTGGAGGCTAGAAGAGTTAGGTGACCAAAGTGAAGCAATTAGCATGGGACTTGTAGTTTGGTGAGATTCTAAGAATTCTGTATTTGGACAAGTTCAAGGAAGTGGACTTCACCAAATTGCAACATTGCAACATTGCATAGGATAGAGGTTTAACAGTTAAAGTGGTATAATACTGCTGTAACTGTCTAGTGTGGATATACCCTTAGGCTCTAAGTCAGTGGTTCTCAACCTCCCTAATACTGTGACCCTTTAATACAATTCCTCATGTTGTGGTGACCCCCAACCATAAAATTATTTTCACTGCTACATCATGACTACGATTTTGCTACTGTTATGAATCGCCGTGCAAATATCTCATATGCAAGATGTATTTTCATTCAATTGTCTAAATTTGGCACAAATACCTGATATGTCCAAAGTTGAATACTGGTGGGGTTGAGGTGGGGTGGTTAATTTTGTCATTTGGGAGTTGTAGTTGCTGCGATTTATAGTTCACTTACAATCAAAGAGCATTCTGAACTTCACCAACAATGGAATTGAACCAAACTTGGGACCAATAGGAAATACTGGAAAGGTTTGGTGAGTTATGGAGTTGTAGTTCACCTATATCCAGAGAGGACTGTGGACTCAAAAAATGATGGATTTGGACTAAACCTGGCATGGATACTCAGTATGCCCAAATGTGAACACTGGTGGAGTTTGGGGAAAATAGACCTTGACATCTGGGAATTGTAGTTGCTGGGATTTATAGTTCACCTACAATCAAAGAACATTCTGAACCCCACCAACAATAGAATTGGGCCAAACTTTCCACACAGGACCTCCATGACTAACAGAATATACAGTGTTTTCTGGGGGAATTGGTTTAGTCCAAATCCATCATTGTTTGAGTCCACAGTCCTCTCTGGATATAGGTGAACTACAACTCCATAACTCATCAAACCTTTCCAGTATTTCCTATTGGACCCAAGTTTGGTCTTTGRCAGCCCCTCTGTCACCCCCTCGCAAGTCCTTCAGGGATCCCGACCCCCAGGTTGAGAAACGCTGCCCTAAGCAACACTGAACTCATTTTCAAGGTAAGAATGTTGAAACCATAAAACTTTAACACATTTTTAAAATACGAAACTTCACTTTCTTCCATTCTCTGAATACAATCACACCCATTTTGTGTGTATTTGCATAAATGTGAAGTGTGTGTGTTGGGGGGGGGGGGATATAAATTAAACTTTACCAGTGCTCCGCTGCTGAGAAGAATCATGAATATGATGAAAGTTTCAAACCAGCTGTGTTCAACAATTTGGTAGCAGGTCTTCCTCAGCCTCCACCAAATCTTCCCGGGAACTTTCGTGGTGTCAACAGAACAACAGGGAAACAATCGGACGCAAGCTGAAACGGCAAATGAGAAGTCAGAAACCACACTTTTGGTCATTCTCCTTTACTTTTGTGCAGATACAGCTCTCAAAAGTATCCGCTCTTATAAAACTATATCTGAGCCAAGACTTACCTTTGTTTTTCTATCACTCAATTCTTTGAAATGAAAGAACATAATATGAAAACAAGCTTGTTGTATAAGCAACTGGATACATTTCAACCACACAATTATTTCCTTTTCAGTTAAGACAGTGTGAAATTCAGGGTTTAGCACTCAGAGGTGAACTTTTTCCATACAGAAAATATATAGGGGATTATTGACTCCAAAATCAGAGAATCGTGTCTCTAAAACAGAATGATAAATGATCCTGGATTCCAGCTCAGAGTTAAAAGATGAAAGAATAACAATGATGATATAGGGTTGTTGTAGGTTTTTTCGGGCTATATGGCCATGGTCTAGAGGCATTCTCTCCTGACGTTTCGCCTGCATCTATGGCAAGCATCCTCAGAGGTAGTGAGGAGAGAATGCCTCTAGACCATGGCCATATAGCCCAAAAAAACCTACAACCCAGTGATTCCAGCCATAAAAGCCTTTGAAAATACAATGATGATATATAATATACAGTATAATATATAATACAGTAATAAGTGCTATAGGCATGAGAAAACCAGCATGGTGTAGTGGTTTGAGTGCTGAATGAGGGATCCATCTACACTGTAGAACAGGCATGGGCAAACTTCGGCTCTCCAGATGTTTTGGAATTCAACTCCCACAATTCCTAATAGCCTTAGGCCTGGCTGTTAGGAATTGTGGGAGTTGAAGTCCAAAACATTTTTTTTGGGGGGGGGGGCATGTATGCTGTAGAACTAATGCAGCTGGACACCACTTTAGATGCCATGGCTCAATGATATGGGATACTGGGATCTGTAGTTTGGTGAGGCACCAACACACTTCAGCAGAGGAAGCTAAAGACATTGTAAAGTGACAACTGCCATGATCCCAAAGCACTGATCAATGGGAGTTAAAGTGGTGCCAAACTGCATTAATTCTATAGTGTAGATGTGCCCAGGGATAATGCAAATGTAAACTACCTTGGGAGGGATTTCACCTATGATCCCACCTGATGTATCTGTTAGGGTGGTGAAACAGAGGCCCCTTCTAACTGCCATATAATCCAGATTATCCGCTATCTGCTTTAACTAGATTATAGGAGTCTACACTGCCAGATAATCCACTTCAAAGCAGATAATCTGGACTTTATATGGCAGTGTAGAAGGGGTCAGAGAAACGTCTGTCACTTTTATAACTGTTGTCGTGTGCCTTCAAGTCATTTCCAGTGCACGCGGGGTTTTCTTGGCAGGTATTGATCTGAAGTCTCTGAGGCTGAGAAAGTGTGACTTGTCCAAGGTCATCTGTTGGATTTCCATGGCCAAGCTGGGACTTCAACCTTGGTCTCCAGAGTTGATAGTCCAATGCTTTTGACGCACTAAAGGAATCTGCTTGGTCTTTTCCTTTCAGCGCAAGCTGTTTTCTTTTCAAAGTCAGCCCGCTTTCCCTCGCTCATGGCTTTCACGGCAAAATCCTAAATTACATCATGATAAAATCTGCAGCCTGACAATGGCTTATTGTGTGTCTCTCTCTGTGTGTGAGAGAGCGAAGCATAAAACAGCAGGCTTTTACTGCTGGGACAAGTGGAAGATAATGCTGGGTTGTCACAGCTCAGGAACACTCAATCGGAGAGAAATGTTTGCCAATGAATTACAGAATGGAAATGGACAGTTAACTGTACATTTTATACAAATATTCTAAAGCTGGCCATTGTCAGCCTGCCAGACTTGAGATGTCTGCGAAGGCAGCTCCATACAATCAATCCCTAATCCTCTCTCACCAATCCCCATCTCTTCCAGCCAGTGGATTTGGGGGTTAAGAGTATGCCTTCAACTGGATATAATCCTGTATATCTGGGAAGGGGCCACTCACATTGCAGAATTATAGTGGGTTGACACCTTTTTAATGGCCATAACTTCATCCTATGGCGTCCGGAGATTTGCTGTGCCTTGTGTTACAAAAGCTCTTGGGCAGAAAATGGGAAATATCTCGCAAATCCCAGGATACAATCACATTGAGCCATGGCAATCAATGTGGTGTGAAACTGAATTAATTCTACAGTATAGATGCACCCATAGATGGGTCCCATCTGCATATTGATGACAGCAAACCTCAACGAGGGATACATTTCTTCATCACATTTATTCATGATTGTTTTAGCAATCATGAAGAAAATCTTTGGAAACAATACAGTTTTCAGGTCTCATTCTGCACAACATTTACATGTTGGGTGTTCTGTACAGAAAACACAGAAAAAGTTCTGCACAGAAAAAAATGCATTAAAAAGCTGTTTTATGCTTTAAAAGACCCCATGTGCATTTTTGTGTGTGGAATTAACTATATATTACATGCACTGAAGCTTGGAACTAAAGTAGTCTGTGACATTTATTAGGGATGAGCATTTGGGGGAAATCTTGTCCCATTTCGCATCCCAGCTTTCGTTGGAGGCCACGATCTGTTTTTGTAATTCTCCCGAAATTGGGAGGGTTGTTTTCAGTTTTGTTTCAAGGCCTGAAAATCATATCATTATTTGTGGGGTGGGGTTCCCACTCACTGGCTCCCTTTCCTGGCAAGCATTCTTCTTTCCTGGCACCTGCTGTTTCTACTGTAGAGCAAGAGGTACTCAGCTGCAGGCACACTCCGGATCTGCCTGCCTGCACACTTCGCCACACATGCCACACCACACTCTCCAAGAGTGCATGTGTGGCAGAGCATGCAGACAGGCCCTGCAACAGAGCTCCTTGCCTGCCTGTCTTCATGCCTTGCCATGCATACACTCTCTTTCCAAGATAAGAAGGCAAGTTTGGATGCACATGAAACAGGCTTTTGTGTCAAGCAGATTTTTGTGTGGGGAGGCAACTTCCTGTTTCGTGCTTCTGAAGAAATGGAAGACATGAAAGAAATGGTAGGAATGAATTTCATGCACATTCCTAATTTATATAAATAAAAATGTAATGTTCATTTGTGGGGTTAACAGAACTCAAAAACCACTGGACGAATAGACACCAAATTTGGACACAAGACACCTAACAACCCAATGTATGCCCTTCACTCAAAAATTTGATTTTGTCATTTGAAAGTTGTAGTTGCTGGGATTTATAGTTCACCTACAATCAAAGAGCATTCTGAACCCCACCAACGATGGAATTGAACCAAACTTGGCACACAGTTCTCCCATGACCAACATAAAATACTGGAAGGGTTTGGTGGGCAGTGTCCTTTGGTTTTGGAGTTGTAGTTCACCTACATCCAGAGATCACTGTGGACCCAAACAGTGATGGATCTGAACCAAACTCTACACAAATACTCAATATGCCCAAATGTGAACACTGGTGGAGTTTGTGGGAAATAGAATCTTGACATTGGGGAGTTGTAGTTGCTGGGATATATAGTTCACCTACCATCACAGAGCATTCTGAACTCCACCAACGATAGAATTGGGCCAAACCTCCCACACAAAAACCCCCATGTGGGCCACAGCGTGGCAGGGGACAGCTAGTACTGATAATAAATTCCTTTGGGAATGGGTGTCGCAAAGTTACATTTTAAAAGCAATATAGAGCTCATTTATGCAAGACACAAATGACAGTTGATCCAGGATGGAATTCTCATTTGTCCCATATAGATGAGCTTATAGAGAGTGATAACAAGATCACTTTATGATGGTAAGGTATAACATGTAGTGACTTTAGCAAAAATATATTTGGCATTTCTAATAGGAATGTTTCAAGTAATGGATGGTAATGCAAAACCCAACAAGTAAGGCAATGAGATGCTTTCTATGCCATTGGCATGCGCAACAACAAATTATCAGGAATAATAGAAACAGGTTACTTAAAAAGTAAATTTCCAAGCTTTTTCAAATGCTAGCAAAATAATAGAAAGGGAAATGGGGAAAGTTAATTGGGGGGGGGGATATATCTCAGGAGGCACAGGTAAACAAGTGACCAAACAACTGCACACGGTGGAACATTTCCGCTGCCGTACCATGCCTCTTTCTGTCAACTGCATTAACGCTGGGTGACTGCCTTTAAGCAGAGCTGCCAAGGAAATGCCTGAGACCGAAAGACATCTCCTTGCCCCACGGGGCTCCCATTCCCTCATTCAATCATCTCTCGCATGCCGTCATGCTGTTTTGCTGACTGCAGGGTTCCTTGCGTTCCCCGAAGCCTATCCCCATCTGATCCCTTTAGAGCAGGCTTGCTTAGGCATTGAATAAATCCATGGGGATAACTACATGTCCAGATCTGTGGCCGCTTTCCTCACCTGACTTCTTCTTGCTCTTCTGTTCCACTTCCTGCTTCATTAATGCCCTATCAGACAATCCCATCTGAGTTCCATAGAATTGAAACTCAGTGTTTTTAATTCATGCAGTTGCATATCTTAGACAAAGGAATAGTCTACATTTTGACTCTCTATCAAGAATGAATTGTCAAAGTTGCTGAGTTGGTCCAACTCATCAAGTAAACATGAACTTTAATGGATAAACAATTGAGCATTTTTGAAGACTGAAAACAATTTATGGACTTAAGAAATCATAAGAAATCTACAATAATATGTGGCTCTGGTTATAAGTACATGTATTGGGTCTTTTAGTTGGATTTGCAGTTGTAGAATAGCATAGTCCAATGTTTACATTTTTTTTGTGATTAGGATTGTGGGGATCAGAGTTCCTTTGTGTTAGTGTCCTTGTTAATTATCAAATGCTGTTTTAGGTTGGGGACTTGGTAGTATTTCTTTTAGCCCTAGTTTAGTTTACCCCAAGTTTAACTCCAGTCTTAGTTGTATATGTATGTGACTATCTTCTTTGTAAAATGAAACGGTTTTGGAAGTGGTTTCCAAAAGGTTCAAAAAGTTTCAAAGTCCTTAAAGCTGACAATCTGACCTTGGGCTAGGCATCCTCTGTCTTGTGAAAATACAACCCAGTCTTCATCTCCTTGTTTATTAAGTAGGGCAAAAGTGGGACTCATAAATTTTAAAAGAGCTCTATGGACTGGCTGCTGGAAGAAGGCGCTTGGCTAAATAACCTGGACCCAAGTCAATTAGATCTCCAGAGGTCAGAGGGATGTATCTCTCGACCTGGCATCATTACACTGTGCTTTTCATTGCCTTTGCCCCTGGCAGCGACTGACTGAGACCGAAAAACTGTTGAGTGTGGTGAAACCTGGGCTTAAAGTAAAAAGAAAAACAAAGTAGAGAAGCGGAGACGGGGACTCAACAAGCCTCCTCCTCCCCCCTTTAGTGGCTGCCTTGTGCTTTTTGTAATATGCAGTTCTGCTCTATTAATCATGCTTCAAAAACAACAAGAGCAAGGAACAGAGAACCTAGAAAAAGAAAATGTAAAAAGATCTGCAATTTGCAGGACTGGGAACCCCTCTGTTTAAGAAAAGGACAAAGCAGTATGTGGTCGGGGGAGGAAGAATATGTCCATGGAAAGTACCTGTATATACTCATGCATACATTTTGAAATTTGAGCCAAAAATTGGCCACAGAAGCTTGGATCAACTTATCCACAGGTCAATATAAAGATTGGACTTTAATTCTTATCAAAAGAGGAACCATCCCCTTCTCTGAGTAGAGTGGCAAAAGGCAAGACTTTCATCTGTCCTAGGAGAACCCAATAATTAGTAATGACCTCCTCTACTGCATTGGTCATTAGAGTGCCAATGGTGGCAAAGGGCAACTTGTCTTCTAAGGCCGTACTGGCCTTTTCCCCTCTTTATCAAATGATCGAGCCCCCGGTGGCGCAGTGGGTTAAACCCCTGTGCCGGCAGGACTGAAGACCGACAGGTCACAGGTTCGAATCTGGGGAGAGGCGGATGAGCTCCCTCTATCAGCTCCAGCTCCTCATGCGGGGACATGAGAGAAGCCTCCCACAAGGATGATAAAAAAACCAAAACATCAAATCATCTGGGCGTCCCCTGGGCAACGTCCTTGCAGACGGCCAATTCTATCACACCAGAAGCGACTTGCAGTTTCTCAGGTCGCTCCTGACACGACCAAAAAAAAAAATCAAAATCAAATGATCATCAACTTATCCATGGGTCACATTAATAGTCATAATTTTGTCTTCAAAACCTGCTCTCGACTAATACAAAAGATCAACTTAGACATTGCACATAGTAGATAGCTTGTTTATGCTTATTTTTCCTAACTTTATGTCAAATGTAGTAAGACTGTAAGTTTCAAAATGCAAAGACATAATTATTTATTTACTCTATTTATATACCGCTTTTCTCAACCTTGGAGGGAACTCAAGGCAGTTTACAACAATTATATAATGTATGCTGGGAACAACTATGTGTATTTGTGCATACACACAAAGACACACAGTGGGCCCTTAGGCTTGGTTCCAGGATCTCTGTATATACTAAAATCCATGGATGCACATACAACGACATAGTAACATCCCTTATATAAAATGAAAGTTTGCATTTTGGAATATTTTCAAAACATGGATGGTTGAATCTGTTGGATACAGAATCTGTGGATACAGAATTTCTGGGTACAGAGGACTGATAGAAGTCTGTATTTCCTAAAATCTGTATTTCCTAAGGGCACACCAGGTTAAATTATCAGGGATGATCCAACCATTTATTTGAAAGCATTTTAGTGCTAGAGGTCAGAAGGTGAAGCATAATTAAAATTAAATTGCATTATTTTAATGGGCTGTTCTATTTTTTGTTTTACTGCTTTAATCTGTTGTATGTTTTTGAAAAAGGAGGTTTTGTACTTGTCTAAGGATTAGTGACTGTCTAGGAAGCCAATCGACAGAATTATAAAGAGTAAGCATTCTATTTTTAATCAGTAATGGTTGAAATTATACAATCAGGCAAATTCCCTGCTATAGTGAATCACTGGTCACAGGGAAGGGTGATCTCTGTTTCACTTTCTATAAGTTCTGTTTTATTTTTTAAGCACAGACGCCTTCGGTGCTGTTTCAAGGAATGAAGAAAATTCTCAAGGACCTTTTGAACAAAAATGTACACGTCCCCTTTCAGATCCTCTACCACATAATCTTTATTAATGTTGGTGTATCTCATGTTCTATATCAATGGTTCCCAACCTGTGGTCCGTGGACCACCATTGGTCTGCAAGAATGAAAATATGGCCCGCAGCCTCACCATTACTACACTGTTGCCTCGAAACCATGCAGCAACCAGAGCGACTGGTCTCACAGAACCCTCTTATAGTGCCGAGAGGCAACAGGGATGTTGGGAGGAGAGAGGCTAACTACACATAAAAGATTACTACTATCACATCAGCTCTAGATTATTAAATATGGTTTTCTGTGGGTGAGCAGATGGTGACTACTGGATGGCATATGTTCTGTATCAGAAACTAGAGTTGATGTGGTCTATCCAATGCAATTTTCTGAATCAGCACCCCAAATAACCAAACCAAGTCTAAAGTTGACCAAAAACTGATTTGTAACCCTTTTGGTACTAATGTTGCAGAATTGTCCCTGGTCAAAGCGTTTCCTCAGCAAGTGTTCTTTGGTCAAGTGGTCCCTGGTCAAGTGGTTCCTGGTCAAAAAAAGGTTGGAAACCACTGTTCTATATGAATTAGAGGTCAGTAGAATTTCCAAAATTTGACGTTGAAATTCCAGTTGCTAGATTATAAAATGTGGGTATTATGAACTACAGCCTCCACATCTAACTTTTGTAGATTGCATTATTAAAGGACTTGATTACATGTTCTTTCTAGGAATCTCTACATCATTACCACCATCATCATTATTTATATCCTCCTTTTTCTCTCCAAAAAAGAAACTCAAAGCAGCTACAACCTCCCACACAATTCAATGGTCAACTTCCATTGAAAGCTGACCCTAGAGCCATTCTGGAAGAAGACCTATACAGAGAACACTCCTGTAGGCATTTTCAGATTGTCCAACATTGGAGGACCTAGAAGTTCATAGAGTGCTGTTCTCAGGCAAATAAAAGAGGGTTTTGTTCATGGGTTTTCCACTTTTGCACAGCCTTATGCCCCTCCCAGCCTCTGGGGAAGAGAAAAGCAAACCCCCTATGAAAACCTTTGCCAAGGAAACACTGTGATAAGTATACCTTAGGGTTGCCATAACTCTGTCTAGAATCATAAAATAGAAAGTCCATAGGGTCACCTTTTTCGGTCTCTTGACTTTCATGAATCCTGTACTAGATTGTCATCCCATACCTTCCAACTGTATAGTTTGGCAGGGACCTTTCCCATTAATCCTCCCAATCCCCCTTTCTCAGCTACCTTCACAATGTTCTGCTTTCAGTCCTCTCCTCCCACTTTCCACTTTCATCCTCAACCTACTTCAGTTGCTGCAACCTAACTTGAAAATAGAGAAATAGTTTGCACTTTGACTGACAGAGAGGAGTGGGTCTGAGTTTATTCGGGGTTTCCTAAACTTGGTACATATGTTTCAGGTTGTTTTTTTGCTCTTAAAAGAATAGCTTTTGTGCTATTGTTGCATAGCAATACTCTGTGATCACATTCTACTGCTTTGGTTAGTGCATTGGACTATGACTCTAAAGACAAGGGTTCGATTCTGTCCTTGGCCATGGAAACCCACTGGATGACCTTGGACAAGTCACATTCTCTCAGCTCCAGAAAATCCCATGATAGGGTTGCCTTAGGATCACCATTAGTTGGAAACAACTTGGAGGCACATAGCAATATGACAACAAGTGATGTTGCTCCCTAGTTTTCAACTGTGAAATGTTGGAAGGTCACCATCCAACTTCTGCTTAGAAACCTCAAATGAAGGAGAGTCCACCAGCTTCTGAACTAGGTGATTCCACAGTCAAACAACTCTACTATGAGAATGTTCTATCTCATGGTTACTCAGAACTTCCTTTCTTGTAATTTGGCTCTATTGAATCCATTGGCTAGTTACTTTCAAGATATAGGAACATGACAGTCCATTCTTCCACATGTATGATCTGACCCTCAGCGACAGGACATATGTTTCTAGATTGTTCTAGTTACCAAAAAGAACTTGGACAAGCTCAGTCCTTACGTTCTGGGAAGCAGCCTTCGGGTTCCATCATCTCTTCTGCCAGTTCAGGCATCTGTTCCAGAAGATCTGGGGGGATTGCCAAATCCACTGTGCTTCCTTCCGACAGGCTGATTTCATCAAATTTCTAATGGGAGAGAAAGAGACGGGGCAAAGGTGAGAAGAACATTACTCAGGCTCTTCTAAACGGAAGTGTTGCTGTCCCCCCGCTTTAAAAAAAATTAAATAAACAAGGCCCGAAATGAATGATTCAGCCATATGGGAAGAGGATGAGTAGAAGGACAGGAAGAAATTGTTCACATGTTTCACTTGACACCTAAAGATCATCACAAAAGGAAAGAGCATGCTACAGATGGATTTAAAAATAGCTATTTGTTGTATTTGTTGGTTGGACAAGTTGCCAATACCCCACAATAGAAATAATTAGCATAGGGAGAAGATTATAGGCTACAATCCATTGTTAGTCCCAATTACAGTAGACCTCCTTTGATTATCTGGACTAATATAGAGACCAAAAAACATCCATTTTAGCTTTGTTTATTGGCCAGCTATAGGGGGGGGGGGGGAAGGTGGATTAACACAAGAAATAAATGCATCCTCTTCAAAGAAACTCCACAAGCTGTTGAACAGATCAGAGAAAAAAGTGATAACATGTCTTGTCAAAGATAAGGTTTCCTGGGAACAGTTTTTGGGAAAGCAGAAGCCAAGGCTCTAACAGGAAAAGAAAACAGGATTACATTAATTCAGCAGGTAAACAGATAATTATGCAGGCTGCCGTGGTAGAACATCCCAACCTGAGAACCAAACAGTGACAAAAGGAAAGATTATAATATTTGCAGAAATCAGCAGAGAAGAGAGGCTGCAAGAATGGATGCAAGAAGAAGCCAAAAGTGAAGCCATTCCGAAAGAAACAATGTGCTGCAAGGAATAGGATCCATGTAAAACCCATCTATGAAAAAAGAGATATTTGAGGTGCAGTAAGTGGGGATGGAGTATTTGTGGAATTATCAGAAAATAGAACAGGACTTGTGATTCATCGTGACTCACAATCAGGCTCTTCAGGCCCTTTCTCCAGATTATCAACTCTCCTGAAAAACAAAATTAAGTCTCCAGCCCTTTTTTTGGTTTAGGATGAAAAGTGTGGGCCCACAGTATTTGAGTTCGATAGCTGAGCAAAAAGCAATTTGCTTACACATTCTAGTGTTTCTGGCCAATGAGATGGCCAACAACATTTCTATATAACTGTATTCAGTAAGAGTGCAAAACACCCAGATAGAACCAAATTCCATTTGATCTTGGATGCTAAGCAAGGTCAACCCTGGCTTACATTTGGATGGGAAGCCACCAATGAATATCAGGTGCCGAAAGCTATATTTCAGAGGAAGAGAATGGCAAAGCACATCTTCCTTGTCTATGAAAACCCTATGAAATTCATGGGGTTGCCATTGGTTTACCTACAGCACTTAGTATTTGTGACCTCCACTTAAGGTTGATGAGCTTAGCTCCAAAGATCAGACATGATCTGGTGCCTTTACAGTATTTTAGGTGGATTACTGATGAAATAGTTCATTAAAAATGATTTGATTTATGCTATGTAGCCACATTTTTTCTGAGGTGGTCACGAGGCAATGAAGATATTTTCTTTTTGTGCTTGGCCCACAGGCCTTAGTCACATCACAATGGTATACACTGACTCACTGTCTTCAAAAATAGCACCCTTTGGGCCCTGGTCTTTCATGTTGGCATTCATCACCTCATGTGAACTCCTGCCACATTTCCAGTGTCCCATGGAATGGTGCCATGGTCTTTGATCTCTTCTTAGACAGTCACAAATAGAATCTAATTGTCATTTGGTCTCGACGAAGATGGCATTTGTCTTCTGGGGTGGGTTCCCTTAGAGGTGGGGAAGGCAAAGCATTTGTTGTTGCTGCAGCTTCCTATCACCATGCCATTTTAATTATCATTGGAAAGTTCAGTTTAAATGATAGCTGGCCACAGAACTTGTGGCCAGCTATAGGTGATAGTCCTCTGCATAGCCCAGTAGCAACTTGGAGGACCACCAAATATTGAAAGATGTCACAGCTCTGGTCGGTTTTGGCAATATAGTCAGAGATGTGCTGTGGAATCCCCCATGAGCTGGTTATTCATTTCATTCTGTTTCCCAAACTTCTTCTGGCTGTTTTGGACTTTAGCTCCCAGAATCCTTGACCAAAGCAGCTGAGACTTCTTGAAGATGAATCATAGAATCATAGAGTTGGAAGAATGACCTCATGGGCAATCCAGTCCAGGCAGGGGGTTGGACTGGATGGTCCATGAAGTCTCTTCCAACTCTATGATTCTATGAAGTCCAAAACACCTATAGGACCAGAGTTGGGGAATAACTGCAGCATCATAATTGAAAGTTTCCTAAAGGAAGAGTGTTGTTGCAACTGCAGCCAATCAGATGCCATTAAGGACACTGGAATAAGGTGGTGGGTTAGTGTCCATTACCCCCACCCCCCCCCCAATTGTCCTCATCCAGTTCCTGTGGTCTTTAACTATGAACTTCAATAGTTGGTCCTTGATTATCTGACATTGCTGACATTCTTTGGGGACTGCCTTAACTTGTGCCATTAAACTATGAACCTCAATAGTTGGTCCTAACATACATTTCAGACATATCAAAGTTACTTTTTCTAGGATGCTGGCCATTGTGAAGGTTGTATATGTTCAATTGTACTGAAACAAAAACAGTTATTTTGAACGACAACTCTCAGCATAACCACTGGCTATTCTGGGAGTTGTATCCAGAATTCCAAATTTTCTACCATCTGGTTTACACAATTGCCATATAACCCAGATTATCAATTCATATCATCCAAATGATCTGATTTGAACTGGATTATCTGAGTCCACACTGCCATATAATCCAGTTCAAAGCAGATAATCCGGATTTTATATGGCAGTTTAGAAGGGGACTGAGTCTACACTGCCATATAATTCAGTTCAAAAGAGATAATCTGGATTTTATATGGCAGTATAGAAGGGGCCTTAGATACATAGACTGATTTTTTTTTGTCATGTCAGTAGTGACTGCAAGTCGCTCCTGGTATGAGAGAATTGGCCGTCTGCAAGGATGTTGCCCAGGGGACGCCTGGATGATTTGATGTTTTTATTATTCCTTGTGGGAGGCTTCCCTCATGTCCCTGCATGAGGAGCTGGAGCTGATAAAGGGAGCTCATCTGCCTCTCCCTGGATTCGAACCTGCGACCTGTTGGTCTTCAGTCCTGCCAGCACAGGGGTTTAACCCACTGTGTCACCGGGGGCTCCACATAGACTGATACTGTTGGGTGACTTCAAGTTGTTTCTTACCCTAAGGTAAACCTATGGCCCCATCTACACTGGCATGTAATCCAGTTTCAGAATCCAGATTGTCTGATTTGAACCAGATGATATGGCAGTGTAGACACATATAACCCAAAACAGGTAATCTGCATTCAGAAACTGGATTATATGGCAGTGTAGATCCAGCCAATTTCAAGGTATTTTTGGTATAATTTGTTCAGAAGAGGTTTGCTTTGCCTTCCTCTGAGACTCAAAGAATGTGACTTTCGAAAAAGGACTGTTTGCATGACCAAGCAGGGATTTGAACGCTGGTTTTGAGTCATAGTCCAACATTATAATATGCTGGATCTTATAGATGCAGATAGAAATACCATTATATATACCTGCATCAAGCTGAAAACAGTTGATATTCCATTCTATACTTAAACCAGAGCCCCCACCTCAGGCTCAATGAATCATTTCTCAGAACTCAATTCTTACTTATACGCTTGGCATTCTGTTAATCCTGTTTTTCAGACTCTTGAATTCGCCTCTCCAATGTTGTACAAATTCCCTATACCTTTTTCATCATTTTTTCACAATTTCAGTACTTCAGATCATTACAATGGTTAGTCAACATTAACAATTTTCAACACGGACAAAGTTAGTTGAGAATAAAATGAGACACATGCAGCACCCCATTGAGCACCCCTCTTCGACTTCATGCATGGCTGAGCTCAGGCAATAGACGGCATGCAAAAGGCAGGCAGCTGGCACCACGAGTCGAGCCGTTACCTCTTCCTGCCCTACGGATGGGAGCGGAGGATCGGTTTTCGTCTGTTTGTCTGTGTTCAACTCACTTAACTCTTCGCAAATCTCAGAGGCCTGGCTCCGAACGGCTGGGCTTCTGTAGCGCTGCCCCATCGGTGGCTGCTGTCTGTCCTGGTGGAGATAATCCTAGAGGTATATATCCCTTTCTCTTTTGAAGTCAAGGATACCACAAGCACACACAAGCACACAAGTTGGTGCGAAAAAGGAAACACATTTGGCTACAATACGTACATGCATTAAAGTCATACCTTAGGGCGATAAAAGCTGGAGAACAACACTGCAAGTGCATAGCGTTGCAGCATTTTTATAATACCGCATTCCTTTGATTCTAAGATGACATCGATTGTAAGACACACTAATTTCAGTACCAACAACAACAACAGCAGCAACCACAAAATAGCCAAGACACACCTGCGATTCTAAGACGCACCCTGCTTTTAGAGAAAGATATATGGGAGGAAAGTGCGTCTTAGAATCCAAGACATACAGTAATTTCCAGTGCATTTTCTCAGGATCGCCAGATTTGGCGCTGCTATGAACAATTATTTGGAAAACTTCTGGTTTCCTTTGGATTACACTGTTTACCATAACTGTGTTTACCAGAAATATATGGTTCAAAGCATTCTGATACCACCCTAATGCACTCCCCAAAGCCCTTTGGACATCCACATGGCCACCTGGTCCAAGCATACATTGAATGCTCTCAAACACATTGTGAATCAGGACGGATCCTGTCCAATCCAGCTGTTCACACATTCAAAATGGCAGGTTCTTTCCAGAGCTTCCTGGAAATTTAGGAGTAAATCTTCTATTGTGGATTTAATGTTTGAATGCAAGGTTTCTATTGTGAACCCAGCCTTACATCTCATGGATATCCTGCAGCAACTGAGTGGCAAGTCCACATTATTTTGACCTTGTAGACCAAGGGCAAGATGGATGGATGGCATCCTTGAAGTGACTGGACTGACCTTGAAGGAACTGGGGGTGGTGACGGCCGACAGGGAGCTCTGGCGTGGGCTGGTCCATGAGGTCACGAAGAGTCGGAGACGACTGAACGAATGAACAACATTTGATACATCCGATGTTTTTGTTTACGCTCTCTCTTGCCTCTGCTTAGTCCCTGCCCTATATCATCCCAACAAGTTCTTTGCCTTTTTCTTGGTAGACTCTGGCCCCATCTACACTGCCCTATAATGCAATTCAATGCAGTTAAACCCAAGTTAATGGCTTGAGCATCAGACTAAAGCTGCATCTATATTGTAGAATTAATGCTGTTTGACACCACTTTATGTCATAATGCAATGCTAAGGAATCATTGGAGTTGTGATTTGGTGCAGCACCAACACTCTTTGGCAAAGAAGGCTAAAAGACTGTGTAATACTAGAACTCCCATGATTCAATAGCAATGAGCAGTTAAAGTGGTGTCAAACTGCATTAATTTCAAAGTGCAGATCATAAAATCATAGAGTTGAAAGAGACCACATGAGCCATCCAGTCCAACCATCCAGTCCAGGGAGTTGGACTAGATGGCCCATGTGGTCTCTTCCAACTCTATTATTCTATGATTCCACCATGCAGGAAAAGCACAATCAAAGCAACCTCGACAGATAGCCATCCAGCATCTGTTTAAAAGCCTCCAAAGAAGGAGCTTTCACCAGACTCTATGGCAGAGAGTTCCACTGTTGAACAGCTCTTGGGGTCAGGAATGCACCATATTACTCTGCAGATCGGGGTTTGAATCCCCGCTTGGCCATGGAAACCCACTGGGTGATCTTGAGCAAGCCACTCTCTCTCAGCCTTAGAGGAAGGCAATGGCAAACCCCCTCTAATAATAATAACAACAACAACAACACACTTTATTTCTATTCTGCTTTATCTCCCCGGAGGAACTCAGAGCAGATTACAATACATTCAATGCCTTTTAACGCGAACAACGACATACAATACACAGATAAGATAAATGTCTTCCCCCTTTTCCCCATTTCCGGTGTCTGGAGGCAATGCTCAACTTCCAGCCATGGGGAGGTGCTATAGTTCTATTTTCCATGCTGAAGGAGCCTGCTGTCTGTAGACTTCTCCAATCTTTGCATGTCTGCATGGGGCACCCTTCTACCTTCCCACTGAGGCAGTATCTATTGATCTACTCACATTGCATGCTTTCGAATTGCCAACCTTCCGGTCAGCAAGTTCAGTAGCTCAAGCAGTTTAATCCATTATGCCACTGTGGCCACTTAAACCTTTTAAACTCTTTCCCTTAGAGTTTAAGGGAAGGAGATGGGGATGGTTCCTCTTTCGATAAGAATTAAAGTCCAATGTTTATATTGACCTGTGGATAAGTTGATCCAAGCTTCTGTGCTCAATTTTGGTTAAAATTTCAAAATTTATACATGAGTATTTACAGGAGCTGGCGCTATCAGCAGGAGCTTACCGAACCTGCAACCTTTAAGCCAACAAGTTCAGCAGCTTAGCGATTTAACCCACTGCGCCACCGGCAGCTCCAAACATGAATTACATGTGGTTTATTTTACATCACGCCACACCCAGAAAGGGCTTGAAGACACTCAAAACCAAAGTCACCCTCTCCGAATGAATTTATGGGTCCTCCTTGCCCAGGTCTTGATGTGCTCCCCTCTGGAATTACTTAGCCATAAATCTGTCTTTCCACTTCCCTTTGGTACTAAAACATTAATAAAGTTTTGTCTGGTTTTTAAAGATTTGCAAAGGCGAGACTTTCCTGCTGGTTAGAAAGCAATTACAAGGGAAACTGGGTTTTAAAACAATTACTGTTTTCAGCTCTTATTATTTCTCTCCTTCTTATATTTCATTACAGAAGCCTAATATATATATATTTTTTACAAAACTATAAGGACAACCCCCCAATGCTTTTCATATCCCAGTTTAGTAGCCCCCCTGCCTCAATTGTGCCGTTAATTCACTGTAGGAAACGGCAAAAGAGAAGCAGGGAATATGCTTCATTTCAAACGGAACTAATATCAAAGACAAAGGAAAACTACCTGCTTTGCTTAAACAATTGGGGTGTGGTATAAATGTTCGCAGCTTGTCATGTTCACATTAACCACCACCTTTCAAAAGCTGCCTTGATTTCACAGTAAATTAATTTAAAATTAAATTACTGATTTCCTGCTATAGAGGGCATGGGACCCGATGTATATTTTAACATCTAATAAATTGGATTTTTCATGCCCGAGACTGTACCCTGTGCTTAAGAAAGTCCTCTATGTAATTGCTGGGCATGGCTCTGAATCCGTTCGCGGCAGGCCAAAAGATCATGTTATAATCACCGAACTTGGGATTTTGTCTCCACCAGCAACACTATATACAAGGATAATATAGAAGGAAGTATTTAATGCTATTTTTTAAATTATAAAAAAAATACAAAGACGCCTTTTCCTTCAAAATTGACATTCCTTCAAGACCTACAATCATAACTCAAATAATTTTATCCGCTCTGTTCCTTCGCACTAATTGGGGGTTTAGATGAAATACAACAGAATGCTCACTTGAGGTGCTTTTATATAATAGAATGAAATGTAATGTGACACAAAATCTATTTGCAAAAGAGAGTGGGTGGGAATAGACTTGATATGTCTCAGGGTTTCTTCCCTGTGTCTCAGAATCTGTGGGTTTTCAGAGAAGGAAAAGAAAGAGTACTGAGTAAAGTGGAAGGAAGGCGTTAATCCCTTTGCACTCATCGGGAATTACCTTGTACCTTATATTTGACACTCAGACATGCTAAGAAATAGGCTGCATTCTCTGGATGGTTCTAAGAAGAACCTGGATGGCCATCTGGCGTGCGGGCTTGAATTGTGTCCTTCTGCAAGGCAAAAGGGGCTTGGACTGGATCGTCTTTGTGGTCTCTTCTGGCTTTATGGTTCTATGACAGCCAAGGTAAAGATTTCCCATGACATTAAGTCTAGTCGTGTCCGACTCTGAGGGTGGTGCTCATCTACTTTTCTAAGCCAAAGAGCCAGCATTGTCCACAGACATCTCCAAGGTCATGTGGCTGGCATGACTGCATGGAGCGCCATTACATTACCACCAAAGAGAAGCAGTATAGAATCATAGAATCATACAGTTGGAAGAGACCTCATGGGCCATCCAGTCCAACCCCCTGCCAAGAAGCAGGAATATTGCATTCAAAGCACCCCTGGCAGATGGCCATCCAGCCTCTGTTTAAATAAGCCTCCAAAGAAGGAGCCTCCACCACACTCCGAGGTAGAGAGTTCCACTGCAGAATGGCTCTCACCAGGCCCGTAGCCAGGATTTTGTTTCGGGGGGAGGGGGGGTGAGTTTGGTTCGGGGGGGGGCTGAGTCTGAGTGAAAGAGGGTCTACCCTAGCAAACCTTTTGTATCGTTACCCCAATACCCCCATGCATATGGGATATATTGAGCATGGTGATCAGATCATGATATGAATAAACATAACAGTTTAAATAATGTACCAGTAAGGCCTTCTCGCGGACCACCATCAGAATTTCATGCCTGCCTGTAGGTATCTGTTTAAAAGCTTCCCCCCCCACACTCCGGGGCAGAGAGTTCCACTGCTGAACGGCTCTCACAGTCAGGAAGTTCTTCCTCATGTTCAGATGGAATCTCCTCTCTTGTAGTTTGAAGCCATTGTTCCGCGTCCTAGTCTCCAGGGAAGCAGAAAACAAGCTTGCTCCCTCCTCCCTGTGGCTTCCTCTCACATATTTATACATAGCTATCATATCTCCTCTCAGCCTTCTCTTCTTCAGGCTAAACATGCCCAGCTCCTTAAGCCACTCCTCATAGGGCTTGTTCTCCAGACCCTTGATCATTTTAGTCGCCCTCCTCTGGACACATTCCAGCTTGTCAATATCTCCTTTCAGTTGTGGTGCCCAGATTTGGACACAGTATTCCTGGTGTGGTCTAACCAAGGCAAAATAGAGGGGTAGCATGACTTCCCTAGATCTAGACACTATGCTCCTATGATGCAGGCCAAAATCCCATTGGCTTTTTTTCCCCACATCACATTGTTGGCTCATGTTTAACTTGTTGTCCACGAGGACTCCAAGATCTTTTTCACACGTACTGCTCTCGAGCCAGGTCTCATTGTCCCCCGTTCTGTA